GTCTGCTTTTGAACATTTTATTGTGCCTTTAAATACTTGATTTTTAAAAAAATATCTTATTTAGCTCTTAAAATTGTTATCTGTGAAATGGTTTGCATTACCACTTTATATTGCCATATTACCAGAAGTTCTCTAAATGTAGGTCTGTTTTTTTTTTCTTTTTATTAACATATAATGTACTATTTGTTTCAGAGGTACAGGTCTGTGATTCAACAGTCTTACACAATTCACAGCGCTCACCATAGTACATACCCTCCCCAATGTCCATCACCCAGCCACCCCATCCCTCCCACCCCCCTCCACTCCAGCAACCCTCAGTTTTTTTCCTGAGATTAAGAGTCTCTTATGGTTTGTCTCCCTCTCTGGTTTCATCTTGTTTCATTTTTCCCTCCCTTCCCCTATGATCCTCTGCCTTCTCAAGGTTTTTTGTTTTGTTTTTTCTTTTTAAGATTTTATTTGTCAGAGAGAGAGGGAGCACAAGCAGGGGGAGCAGCAGGCAGAGGGAGAAGCAGGCTCCCCTCTAAGCAAGGAGCCCAATGTGGGACTCAATCCCAGGACCCTGGGATCATGACCTGAGCCAAAGGCAGATGCTTAACTGACTGAGCCACCCAGGTGTCCCTCTAAATGTAGTTTTAATCTGTATTTCTCTTATCATTAGTGAAGTTAAACATCTTTTCATATTTTTAGGTCTCTTCTTTTATCTTTGTGAATATTCATATCTTTTGCCTATTTTTCTGCCAAGTTTTTGGTCATTTCTTTTACCTGAATTTTTTAAAGTCCTCTGTATTTTAGGACATCAGCCCTTTGTGTGATATATTGTATCACTTTCTCCAAGTGATACATTATTTCTCCCAGTTTATCATTTGTCTTTTTATTTTGCTTATGGTCCTTTTTGGTAAGGCATTTTTAAAAATAAATTTTTATGTAGCCAAGCTGAGCAATCTTTTATTGCCTCTGGATTTTGAATCATAGTTAAAAAACCTTTTTCTATACCCATGTTATAGAGGAATTCACTCATATTTTCTTCTAGTACTTGTATGTTTTCATTTTTTTACATTAAGGACTTGGATCTATTTGGAGTTTATTATAGTATGAAATATGGATCTATTTTATTGTTTTCCAATGGTCATTAGTCACCTCAGCATCAGTCACTAAAAAGTTCCAGTGATTGGGGTGCCTGGGTGGCTCAGTTGGTTAAGCGACTGCCTTCGGCTCAGGTCATGATCCTGGAGTCCCGGGATCGAGTCCCTCATCGGGCTCCCTGATCAGCGGGGAGCCTGCTTCTCCCTCTGACCCTCCCCCCTCTCATGTGCTCGCTCTCTCTCATTCTCTCTCTCTCAAATAAATAAAATCTTTAAAAAAAAAAAGTTCCAGTGATTTGAGATGCTATCTTTATAATACACTAAATTTCCATATATACTTGTCTGTTTTAGATTTTATTCTATTCCATCAGTCTGTCTTTTCTTGTGCTAGCACCACATAAGCATAAAGATGTTACAGTGTTTTATATATTAGCATGAGTCCCTCTCCTCATGGCTTTTCTTCTTCAGTATTTTCTAATTTCTCTCACATGTTTATTTTTCCATATGAAGTTTACTATCAACTTTTTAAACTCCATAAACTATTTGCTGTTATTTTTATTGGGATTGTGTTACTTTAATAAATGAATTCTGGGAGAACCATCTTCATGACATTAAGCCATCCTATCTAAAACCAAGAGATGTCCACATCTACTTTTGTGTCTTTCAGGAGTGCTTGAAAGTTTTTCTCATATTGTTTTTGCACATTTCTTAAGTTTATTTTAGGTATGGTTGATCCTCATTATTTGTGGATTCCATATTTGTGAATTCACCTATTCATTAAAATTTATTTGTAATTCCAAAATCAATAGTCAGTACATTTTGTAGATATGCATATGCTCAGAGTGGTGAAAAATGAGTCACCCAACTGCCTTGTTTCAGCTCTCCTGCTCTAAAAAAGTGTCCTTTTAATAATATATTTTAATGCCATCTTTTCCACATTTGTATGCTTACTGTTGGTGATCCTGCTGTCTAAAATGGTCCCCAAGTGTAGTGTTAAAGTGCTATCTAGTATTCCTAAGTGCAAGAAAAAAATATGGGTGTTAAACAATCTTCATTAAGGCATGAGTTATAGTACTTTTGGCTGTGAGTTCTATATTTATAAATATTTATTAAATAAGTTGTCAAACAGACACACAATAGGTTATATACTGATCAGTTAGTGAAAATGATGTGATCAGAGGCTTGCAGGAACTTAACCTTGTACTTCACTAGGGGCAACAATTTGCTAAATTCAGTGTTACAGATACCTTTACAGAACATAAGTACCACGAATAATGAGAATCAACTATATTTTATTTTCTTTTTTGCAACTGTAAATGAGGTTTCCTCTATCAATATATCTTCTAATTGATTATTATTGAGTATATAAAGGCTACTGACTTCTGTGTTAAATTTCTATTCTGCCACCTCACTGGAGCGCTTACATTGTTCGAATTACTCTTATCATTCTCTCTGGTTTTTCAGGTATGTTCTTTTATCATGTGCAAATATAATTTTACTTTTACAATTCTAGTCCCCTATTTCTCTTGTCTAAATGTGTTGGCTACAACAGTTTCCCCCCTTTTAGGACCGTTTTGCATCTATGTGGAACTGCTCTGAGTTGGTAATAGGCTAGGTCATTGATCCAGAGTCCTGGAGTTGAAAAGGAACTCAGAGGTAATGTCTGTCACTTGATGGATTTTTTTATTTTTTTATCACTCAAGTGGTCATCCAGTCTCTTGAACATCTATTCCATTTCTTCTGGTAAGAGCATATCTCTTTCAAAGAGTTACCCTGTGCCCATTCCACATAGTTCTTGTATGCTTGTCAATCACTCCATCCTGGCCCCACTACTCCTGGCTTATGACCCAGGCCAAATATATGGGGTGGCCATAAAATCTGAATGCATAACTATTATCATTTTTTGACAGACTGAACCCCATTTATTACTTCTTCTGGCATATGCTAAAAGTGTAGATTTATGCAGTGAAAATCAAACATACAAATCACCTGAGGCACTGAATACAGATGTATGTGCAGGGATGGAAATAGCATTAATGCACCACTGCCATTACTCTGTACAACCAACTATCTTTAAAAGAGATTTAAATAATAAAATAATAAAGTCTTATGTATACCAACATAGTAACTGTTTCTGGTACTCTTCATCATCTGTGCCATTTCTGAGTTAGTTTCACCTCATTATAGGTCTTATTTCCTTGCTTCCTTGTATGCCTGGTCATTTTTGATTGAATGCCAGACACTGTAAATTTTACTTTATTGGGTGGTCTTTTTTTATCCCTACAATTATTCTTGACCTTTGTTTTGGGACACAAGTTACTTGGAAATAGTTTGATTCCTCTAGGGCTTGCTTTAAAGCCTTATTATGTGGGACCAGAGAAGCTTTTAGCCTAAGGCCAATTTTGTTCCACAATTGAAGCAAACCTCTTCTGAGTACTCCACCTGAGGCCTCTCAAATAAAGGTATCTGTTTTATACCCTGACTGGAAGAAACAGGAGATATTCCCAGCCCTGTGTGAGCTATAGGGATTGTTCCCTGTAACCTTTTTGAAAAGTTCTTTCTCCAGCCTTGAGTAGTTTCCTCACAGCCACGTACTGATCAATAGAGATGAAAACTCAAGGGGGCTTATCTCCATATATCCGGAGTTGTTTCTCTGGGTAGCTCTCTCCTCTCCAGCCCTCTATCCTGTAGACTCCAGTTGCCTTGGTCTTCTCAGAATCCTAGTTTCATCTCCTCCATTCACTGAAGGTACCAGGCTCTGCCTAGGTTCCTGCTCCCTTTGCTGCAGTGTGGAAACTGACTCCGGGAAGTAAGCTGCACGCTCATGGGGCTTACCTCACTTGTTTCTCAGAGATCACTGTACTTCATTGCCTATGTCCAATGTTTTGGAAACTGTGGTTACATACATTTTACCTAGTGTTTTAATTGTATCAAGCAGGGGTTTGGGAATGAAATCAAGTTCCTGTTATTCCACACCAGCTGGAAGTAGAAATACACTGTTCTTATTGTGATTTCCCCCAGCACATATCACTTAACGTCACTGAGAATATCATGCATTGTAATGTAATATTAACAAGGTTTTCTTATGTATATTTGTCCTGTAGTTCTTCATTCCCTGCACATGCCTCTAAACCAGACAACAGTGATTGGTCCAAAAATAAAGTGGAGATGAAGAGAGGTAGGACAGATAAGGTAAGTATCTTCCAAATGTCTGATAGTATCTCTCTGGAGCCTGGCATATCGTCAACACTCAATTGCTTGTTAAATAATTGAAGGAATGCAGGCAGACTTACATGAAGGCTTGCAAGCAAGCACGAATGAATATGACTTGATGAATGGTTTCTTCCCTACCCCACAAGTTCTCCACTGTACAGACCAAAACCTGATGACTACTCAAAGCTTTTCTGCCTATGAGAAACCTCTGGGTTCTGGGGTGGGTGGGCAGCAAGCCTCTCCACACACTATCTCACACCTTATTCTGGATCATTTCCCCACTTTTCAACTCCTTGCTCACTACACTACCACTTTTCCCCTGATGCTGAGTGGATTTCTCTTTTTCTTTCATATTTTTGGAGATAGATCTCTCCTTTAATTTCTTTGCCATAATCCTGGTGACATCCTAGCTTTCAGGTATATAAACACCATTTTTAATTAGGTTGCAAATTTGCTGATACTCTAAAATCTATCTTTTCTATTTGCAAAAAGCATCCAATATTTTTCTTATTCATAATCTGTACCCTATTATTATATAGCCCTGGGGCTATTACTGACTAGAAAAAAGAGAATTTGGGAGAGCTATTTCATTTTTGAAATTAGTGAAGCTAATTTCACTAAGAAATTAATAAAAAGAAGTGAATATTTTTATGTTATTGCTAACATGCATTCAAAGAAAACAGTAATAAATAAACAATACAATAGTTTTGAAATGTTTCCAACGTAAGAGTTTTTATTCTGGTTCTGCGCTCAATTAGAGGTACCTACAACAGACTACAAACAAAAATAATTAGGAAGGGCTCAATAAAAATGGCCAGAAATCAATAATTTTGTTTTGCAGATCTCAGACAAGTTACTAGGTCTTAATTTCAGTCTTAACATTAAGTCATAAAAATTCCTAATTCAGATAAGATAATCAATTTAAAACAAGACTGCAGGCTTGGATTATAACTACCTTAACTTCCCCCAAAAAGCTGAAAATCCTATGACAATAATTTGTCAGATTCAACTTCTGGGTATGTAGAATTTACCAAAAGACTGAGTATAGTGTGGTGAGGACAGGGAAAATAATAGGAAAAAGAATGGAAAAAGCCAGAGCCAATAAGCACAAACAGACCGGAGATCCAGGTGGGGGATAACAGGTAAGTGTATCTGTTTTACAAACAGGATAGGAATGGGTAGAATGAAGGGCGGCCTTACCTCAGCAGAGGGGCTAGTTCCACCGTGATGAGGGGCTGAGGTCTGGGCAGCCCTGGAAGAATGCTGGCTCTCTCAAACATAGTTGCCACTAGACTGCTTTAAGGTTTCTCAGCAGTGGTCCTCAGCCCTTTGCTGCTGTGGGTCGTTCTAGGAGGGAAGGGCAGGGCTGCTTGAGGTGGAGCTATGGCAGCAATGGCGTGGCTGGCTGCCTCCTAGACCCCGGGCTGAGAACCCTCTCTGAGGAGGTAGATGTCAGCATTATTTAAGGGTGTTAGAGTTTTTGCTGTACTGGGAACTAAACTGGCCTGGAAACTGGGGAGTGACCTCAAGTGCACTATTCTTGAGAGAGGTTTCAGGGTGTTCCAGAGATAGGTGATGTCGTCCCCCTCCCACCTTGGGCTGGGGGTGTTTCTTGGGGTTGGACTCTTGGGACCTGATGCCATGAGAAGAGTCATCTGAGTCCGAGGACACCATCTCCTGGAGAGGCAGCCTCTTGGCAGGTTTCTTTTTCTTCTTTCTAGGGTTCTCCTGTCTTAGCTCTCGTAAATCCCCAGTGTCAATTTCTTTGAGTGGACATATTAAGAAAGTAGAGTTCTTCGTTTTTACATCCTCCCTACAGAGAGAGAGAGAGAGCAGTGTTACCCTGGTCTTGTTGGCTGCTGTGTCTGCAGAGATGTCCAAGCCAGCCCTGTGGTGTTTCTCAGCTCTTTGTCCCTTGGACTTCTTCCTATGGAATGGAGTCGCAGAAGTCCCATGGGGTCTGATAGTCTGGGCTGGTCTTTATTCCATGCAGTTCATTTCCACAGATCTTTGATGTCTGGGAGCTTCGTGTAGTACAGAGAACCTAATGTCATTTGAACCCTGTCCTGACCAAGTCAGTGAGTAAAGCAACAATTCCTGACCAAGAAATCCCTTGACATGCCTCAGAATTGACCTGTGTCCACCCCAGGATAAGCTTGGCCACATCATAGTCCAGCTCACTCCTGACATACTGAACTGGAGCTTGTACAGCAGAGACACTCTTCTACACTTAGTTTTCCCTAATTACTCTAGGTGTACCATCAGAAAAAAGTACCCCAAATTAAAAAAATGATATGATTTTTAATTTAATTGACATTAGATATGACTAAGAAGTCATAGAGCTAGTTTTACCATTTAGAAAATATATAGTGTACATGATCAACTAATATTTGACAAGGGAGCCAAGAATACTCAATGGGGAAAGGACAGTCTTTTCAATAAATTGGAAACACTGGAAATCCACATGCTCCTGTCTTACAACACTCACAAAAATTAACATAAAATGGACATAATAAGAACTGAAACCATGAGACTCCTAGAAGATAACACAGGGCAAAAACTCCTCTACACTGGTTTTGGCAATGGTTTTTCAGATACAACACCAAAAGCACAAGCAACAAAAGCAAAACATGAATGGGACTACAACAAACTAAAAAGCTTCTGCACAGCAAAAGAACCAAACAACAAAACAAAGAGGCAACCTAAGGAATGAGAGATAATATTTACAAACCATATACCAGATACTGGATTAATGTCCAAACTATATAAGGAACTCATTCAACTTAATATCAATAATCTGGCAGAATAAACTGTTATTAATTACTGAAAGAAAAAAACAACCCAAATAATCTGATTAAGTAATGGGCAGAGGACCTGAACAGACTTTTTTTTTTTTTTAACAAAAAAAGACATACAAATGGCCAAAAGGTACATGAAAACATGCTCAAGGTCACTAATCAAAAGGGAAATGCAAATCAAAACCACAAGGAGATATCACCTCACACCTGTTAGGATGGCTATTGTCAAAAAGACAAGAGATAACAAGTATTGCTGAGGATGTGGAGAAAGTGAGCCCTTGTACACTGTTAATGGGAGTGTAAACTGGTACAGTCACTATGGAAAACAGTATGGAAACTCCTCAAAAAATTAAAAATGGAACTACAATATGATCCATTAATCCCACTTCTGGGTATACATCCAAAGGAATCTAAATCACTATCTCAAAGAAATATCTGTAGCCCCATGTTCACTACTGCATTGTACACATTAACCAAAATATAGAAACAACCTAAGTGTCCATCAGTGGACGAATGGATCAAGAAAATGTGCCATAAACATATAAAATTCATAAACAATGGAATATTACTTAGCTATAAAAAAGAAGGAAACACTGCCATTTGTGACAAGGATAGACCTTGAGGGTATTATATTAAGTTAAATAAGTCAGAGAAAGACAAATACTGTGTGTCTCACTTATATGTGGCATAGAAACAGAGAATAAAATGGTGGCTACCAGGGGTTGGGGGAGAGGGTGGGAGAAATGGGAAGATGTTGGTCAAAGGGTATAAAAAAATAAAAGAAAATATATTGATCAGTTTATTTATCCAGAACTGTTATCTTTCAAAGAAGGGATCTTGGCGGGGCGCCTGGGTGGCTCAGTCGTTAAGCGTCTGCCTTCGGCTCAGGTCATGATCTCAGGGTCCTGGGATGGAGCCCCGCGTCGGGCTCCCTGCTTGGCAGGAGGCCTGCTTCTCCCTCTCCACTCCCCCTGCTTGTGTTCCCTCTCTCGCTGTATCTCTCTCTGTCAAATAAATAAAAATCTTTAAAAAAAAAAAAAAAAAAAGAAGGGATCTTGGGAACATCATGACTTCATTCTAGCCATGCCCTCATGGCACACTGTTTTGGGAACTTGCCTTTTTCAGGGCCTTCAGGATGAGTTAAAAACACCAGATGCCTGGTGTTAAAACTTATTTTGTTCCCTTAATCAGTATCTATCACCTTGAGCACCCAGGCTTCACTCTGAATAACTTTTGACCATTGCTGCTTCAGATCCTTTTGGAAGTTACGAAGAAAAAATTAAGCGTGGGAGAAGATTTTTAGTTATTTCTAAAAAGAAAATTACATCAATCAAGGATCAAGTTTCACCACATGTGATACTTTTCAAGGATTGGCGCAAAGACTCAAGAGGTAATTCCCAAAAGGGATTAAAAAATGGCCTTCATGAGGATAGCTATGATCAAGAAAAGAAAAAGCAAAACCAAAAAATAACAGATGCTGGCAAGGACATAGAGAAACTGGAACCCTTGTACATTGTTGGTGGAAATATAAAGTGGCAAAGCTGCTGTGTAAAACAGCATGGCACTCCTCAAAATATTAAAAATAGAACTACCGTATGATCTAGCAACTCCACTTCTGTGTATGTATCCACAAGAAGGAAAGTAGGGATTCAAACAGATACGGACACTCATGTTTACCGCAGCATTACACACAATAGCCAAAAGGTGGAAGCAACACAACTGTCTACCAACAGGTGAATGGATAAAGAAACTGGGGTATATACATACAATAAAATATTATTCAGCCATAAAAAGGGACGAAATGCTGGCACACGCTGTAACATGGATGAACCTTGAAGACATTATGCTAAGTGAAAGAGGTTAGTCACAAAGGACAAATACTGTGTGATTCCACTTATATGATACACAAGGACTAGTCAAAATCAGAGAGACAGAAAGTAAAATGGTGGTTGCCAAGGGCTAGGAGCGGAGAGGGAATGAGCAGTGAGTGTTCAATGGGTACAGAGTTTCAGTTTGGGATGATGACAGAATTTGGGGATGGCTCATGTGATGGTTGCACAACAATGTGAATGTACTTAATGCCAACTGAACTGTATGCTTAGAAATGGTTAAAATGATAAATTTTATGATTTGTGTATTTTATCACAATAAAAAAAATGTCACAAGCAACTGTAGTAACATTGGAGAAAGCATCCCAGGAGGCCACCAACAAAATTTCTTGAAATAGGAGGCCAGCACCTATGTGGATGTGTAAGTTTTGTGAGGCTGGGTTCTCAGAGACTCATCCTAAAATCACACAGCAGGGTCGTAACACCATACCTGCTCTGTAAAATCTAAAATCTTACCTACCAGGGCACCTGGGTGGCTCAGCTGATTAAGTGTCAGACTCTTCACCTTGGCTCAGGTCATGATCTCAGGGTCGTGAGATCAAGACCCACGTCAGGCTCCATGCTCAGTGGGGAGTCTGCTTGAGATTCTCTCTCTCCCTTCTCCCTCTGCCCCTCCCCCTGCTTGCACGCTCTCTCTCAAATAAATAAACCTTAAAAAATAAAAATAAAAAATAACATAAAAACCTACCTACATTACCATCAACTGTCCCTCACACTGTTCCCTCCCTCCCAAGCATACTAAGTTGATATGTTCTATTTCCTTTTCAGAGATGTCCTCTATTCCCCAGGTATCAGGACCAGTCACAGTCCAGTCTACCACCTATAACCTCTCAGAAAGAAGAGCAACAAGGAGGAGGAATGGAAAGTAGCAAGAAAGGCACCCAAAGATGAAGGTAGAAGCGAGGCTGACCTGCCTACCTGAAGGATACCAGGAAGATGATCGTGGAAAGAACCCAGGAAGAAGAGCAGGAAAGCTCAAGAAGCAACACATGTCTAGCCCTCAGTAGGGCATCGGTCACATAAATCATGCACCACCTAGATAATTGCATTCTAAGCAGGCAATAATGAAATAAAAGGTGTCCTTGTCATGCCAAAATGCAAGTAATATATTAAGTGGGGAAAAAAGTCACAAACAATATGTTACATTTTCCTGTTGTTATTAAGATTGCGAACATATAAAGATAACTGGAAACCTTTCCATCAAACTGTTAATAGTTGCCTCAGGAAAAAGAATTCCAGTAGGATTGCCACTTACTCCACATTTAAAAAAAATTTTTTTAACTGTCCTAAATGATAAGGGGAAACAAAAATTTTTATTTTGAAGAAAAATAATCAACATAGCAGAGAAAACACACTCTAGAAGGATGTATGTCAAAATATAAATGGTGATTACTTCTGAAATGTGGAACTATGGCTGGTTTTTTTATTCTTCTTGTTTTTAATGTTTACATTATATTAACTACGCATACTTTTGGAATAAGAGTAAACATAGGCAAGCTGTCATGATCAGAATAAAAAGCGGACTAGGATTTTGATCAAGGAAAAGCCTTTCCATCAAGTCAGCAGATGCAGCTCAGCTACCCCATTTTACTCTCCAGAATGACTGATGTCAACCAAGTTCGAGATATTCCACAAGGAAATGTCCCCTTGCAGGAGGGGGAACAGGGTAAGTGTGAATCTGATGTGAGAGTTCTTATCCAATGCCCCCACCCCACCATGCACCCTCATTCTGCTTGGCCCAAACCCACTCTGAGGAAAGGGGAAGGTGACCATGCTCCTGACTCTAGCTAGTGGATGTTACCCTTCAGCACACTTGGAAAGGCCCCAATAAATGGCTTTCTTTTGTCTTATCTCATGCCAAAACCAAGAAAAATTCAGCGTCCTATTATTTTAGGTTACAGGTTTAAGTAATGTGACAAACAGGTCAAAATCACATATGTGTGTCAGAGAGGAGGGGTAAGATGAGGAAAGCCAAGCACCGTGCCTTCACGGGTTCTTCAGATGCAGCTGGCTCCACTTTTGGGAAGAAAGTGCTGAGCACCTACTCCACACTCTCCTTGGGTCAAAACCCACTTCATTCGCTTGATTAGTGTCAGCTCCTCAGCTATTCTCGCTGGTTCTCCGAG